ATATATATATATATTTATATATATATATATGGAAGAGATATTTTGATATCGAATAAAATAATTTTCTAGTTTTGTTTCCACTTTTTTGAAAAAAGTAAAAATATTTAGCTTCATCCCAACAATAAAAAAATTATTTAGCTTTCATTTAAAAACGATTTTACTGATTTATCTGACACATTAATTTTTTAATTTTTTGTAATTTTCTTTTAACTGTTTTCAATGTCAAACAAACTCTTAATATTGATGTCATAGCAAAGGAAGAAGGGCAGTCAATAGTAACACAAGCACTAACGGCTAGATATGACCGTAAACGACGAGTACAAGTAAATATTTTCTTATAATTCTCTTTTTTTCCTTTCCATAACGTTTTTACGATATAATGTAAAAATAGGATTTATTTCTCAAACCTATATATGTTTCTTTCTTATTTCTGCAGAACAATATACGTTTTTAAATGTTTAAATTGTTACTTGAAATATTTATCATTTCATAAATAGTACTATACTATACTTTATGTAAATGAAGTTGGAGGTATTAATTTTATATTTGATGTAAAGGTGGTGGAAGTATTTTCATTTATTAAGGTTTTGAAAACTTTTCACTTTAATATAGTTTTGTCAACTCTAATAGATCATTTTTTCACAGTAGTTTTAAGTGGCTCAAGTCATACGTAGCCCTTAAAGTTGTTCGTGTAATTCACTTAGACACTTTAACTAGGACTAGTATCTATTGAACACCTCTACTTATTTAGATTTGAATCTTTTGAACACTTTTTTGACAATCAGCTAAAAAATATAAATGTGTGTAATACACTTGCACTGACATGACAAATTGACAAATCAGTGACGTACATGTGGCCTTTTGAGGAAAAAAAAAAGAAATGAAGGAAAACAGAAGTTGCAGTGGAATCAACTACAAAACTAATGATGAACAACTAATTCATCTCATGTCTATGGAGTGGAGACATCAACTTATCTCTGAGCAATCAAATGATTTAACTTATTGATGATCATTAGAGAAAGATTTACAATTCAAATGATTTAACTTATCGATGGAAATTCTTCATTTCAAAATGCCATTCTGTCCAGCCACCATTGTCGTCGTCACCTTCCAACCCTTTTAATTCAACGATTTTATTTTTCAAATCTGATTTTTCTAAAAGTTGAAAATAGCAAATTACATATATATAAAAATTAATCAATACATGAACCACCTATAATTTTTTAGATACCAATGAAATCATTGACTACATAATCATCTAAGCAAAGCATGGAGAAAGGTACGTAGAAGGAGAGGTTATTTTATTATTATTATTATTATTATTATTTTAGATCTGATTTATTTGGGTACAAATATAAAGAAGAAAAAAAAGAAAGGAATTTTTCCGATGAATAAGATTGGCGATGGTGGTGGCAACATCGGCGGCAACTATGGAAAAGGTGGTGGTGTTGAAGAAGTTATGACTAATGAAGAAGGAAGAAGAAAGAGAATAAAAAAGATACATTAAAAGTACCCTTCTAACGCTAAATGTAGGTGATTTGCACCTTCTTGCCATGTGAGCAAAAAGTGTTCAATAGGTAAATTTGTTTTGAATAATAGAAGTGTTCAATAGGAACAAGTGTTAAATAAGGTATCAAAATGAAATGTGCAGACAACTTTAAGGGGCTACGTATGACTTAAGCCTTTTAATAATTTATGGTAGAATCAAGAAGAAATTTCTAAATAGTAAAGACTAATTTCATTTTACATGTCATTAATTAGTTAATATATTACCAATATGGATTATGGTGCAATGGTGAAACTATTTTACCCTTATTTACAGGTCTCGGGTTCGAGCCTTGAAAATCTCAAATAGACCCTGCAGTGAGTGATCCGAATATAGTCAGTGCTCCGAATACTAAATGGGAAACAAAAAAATGGTTAGTTATTGTTAGCTACACAGAATCGAGTTATTTTAATAATGAAACACCTAACCGACTTGTGACTTGTTGCAGGAAAAGAAATCCAAGAGAGACGAGTCAAGCACACAACACTTAAGGAAGGAAAGAGATAATCTGCTAACTGATACAAAAACGAGTCAAGCACACAACAACTAAGAAAGGAAAGAGAACATATGGTAAATTAATCAAGGGAGAAAATCTACTCAAATCAACCAGATAAGGAAATATATAATCTGCATCAATCAAAGGATACTCTCAACGAAGCAAGATCAACCAGAATCCAAGACTACTAAGGGAGAAATCGAAATCAAGGGATGCAGTCAAAATAACGAGATCAGTCAAGCTTCAAGATTACAAGGAGATCATCATACAAAGGAAGAATTCGATTTGCTCAAGCACATATCTATATGGACATGACTTAGAAAATCAATCAGAATCAAATCAAGGAGTCAATCAAATATCCTTGATTCAAATACCCTTGGGTTTCTGTAAAAGAGCAAAGTCCTCCAGAGCTATATAAATCTCTCTCAGCAATAGTTGTGAAGTACACACTTCACTTGAACTTGTACTATTATCTTCTATTTTATTTCATAAAAGCATTGTATTCTCGTGAGTATACAACTGAAAAAGAAAAGAAAGAAGAAACTGAGTGTAGGTTATATGAGTTGAGGCTATGTCAAAGTAGAAATTCTGATTTGCACATCAGACAAGATCTACAGTTGAAATACCTGATGAGTCCACAAATTGGACTCATTTAGGACTTTATTTTAATAGAAATAGTGTCCTCAAATGCTTATTTATTCTAAATATCTGATGAAAACACTTAAGTTTCAGGTATTTGAAGTATTAATGGAAGCATGGACACTTAGGCACAAAAAGGCTGAAAAGAACGAAGAAGTTGAAGTCTGAGCATCGCCAAGCCGCTTGGCGATTCACCGAAGGGACGCACTCTGCCCTCTGTTCCAGTACGCGAAGCCCTGAAGGAGCAGGATCAAAAAGGCGATGAAAGGAGCAGTCGACATTTTGCAGAATAGTTTTGCAAAGCAGTACTATGTCGCCCAATGACATAGAGCACGACGATGCTGAAGGCTAGTGCAAGAAGGCGATGAACTACACCAAATGGTGAATCGCCGAGTTAATCGGCGATTCCGACTAACCTCGTCGAGCTATCCGCCAGCACTATTTTCTGAAGTCTATAAATACTAAACTCTTTATTAATTTTAGGAGATTCGAACCATTATTAGAAATTTTCACAATAGAATAGTACTTTTTGATAATTTTTCTCTAAGCTTGAGAGGGTTTTGGAGACTTGAAGGAAAAAAGGGTTTTCATCTTCAAGATTTGGAGTTGGGTCTCTTGGATTCTTCATTCTTGGCCTGTAACAAGATTTTAAATCTCCATACACATTTGAATGCAAGCTCATTTAGGTATAAATTTCTATCTCTTCTTCATGTCTAGACTAAAACCCTCATTCTTGGGGTGTGATTTAGCAAATATGTGTTCATATTATTGTTGGGTCTTGTTTGCTGATAGGTTAGATGTATTTTAATGGTGATTTCACCTAGTGGTTGTGGTTTAATTTAATGGGTTTGTAGTTGCAAATATAAAACCACCCATGTGTTTTCGGCTTGCGAGAGAGAGAGGTCGCGAAACCAAGACCGCTAGACTGATGGCCTAAGGAGTAGGTCAACATGAGGTTCAGCCCGAGAGGGTGAGCCCTAGTCCCATATCCTAACACTCAGTTCGAGAGAGTGAGTAAGGTAAGGCGTAGGCTGGCCTTCATGCGGCAAATGGGTGACCGAGAGGAACCCATTTGAAACGGAGTAAGTTACCCCAAGAGGGAACTATTTCCATCTAAAGCTTAGCCAAGTCACTATTAGCTTGCAAATTTCCCATCGAAAGCATGTACTCAACGATTGATATCAATTTATATTGCGGTCACACCCCAAGGACTTCTCCCCATACTTGCTCTCCCCTTATATTTTGTTGTTTTTATTACACTTGTGACTAACCCCCATTTGATATTTGACACTTTTGTGTCACCCTCTTTAATTTACTATGTTTTTACTCGTTAATGTCTGTACCTATGACTAATTAGAACTAAATTTTATTTTTCTATTAATTCTCAAAACCACTCCCTTGGGACACGACCCCAACTCTTGGTTGGGTTACTATATTATCGACGATCGTAGACACTCGTACCGTAGGTTAGTGTCGTTGGTTACGATAAACATCAAAATGGTGCCACTGCCAGGGAGTGGTGTTAATTGAGAGTTTTTAGTTTAATAGAGTTTCTGTTCTTCTTAGTTGTAGTCAACTTACCTAATTTTCAGTTTTGTTTTGAGTATTTGTGTGTCACAACAGGCCATATGAGTGCAAACGGGGAGAATAGCTGCCAAGAGGGTCACTCAGCGGGTGGTGTTTTTCATTGAGACGACATCGATGATGCTAATAATGTTTATCACCCCGTCAACGTAGGCGAGATGGGTGAAATTTGCTTGCCACAAGCTGACGGAAATGTAATGTTCGAAGTTACCAGTGCAACACTCCAATTCATACATTCAAGAGGTTTATTTGGAGGGTTAGAGCATGAAGATCCGCACGAACATGTACAAAGCTTTGTGGAAGTGTGTACCCCTTTATCATTCAAGAACCTATCTCAAAAATCCATACGGTTTTGCTTATTTCCATTATCATTGACTGGGGGAGCCACTAAATGGTTGGTTGAGCGCCCAAACAACTCCATCAAATCATGGGAGGAGCTGGTTATGACATTTCACGAAAGATTCTTTCCTTCATCAAGAATGATGAAATTGAGAGACGATATTCAAAATTTCAAGCAAAAGGAGGGTGAACCAATTCACGAGTCATGGACAAGGTTCAAGAAATCTTTGCGTAAGTGCCCAACGCATAGACTGCCAGGTGAATTGTTGCTCCAATACTTTTACCGTAGTCTGGACTTGGTTAATAAAGGGATACCTGATCAATTGGTGCAATTAGGAATAATGTTACAATCATTTGAAGTAGCCTCATTTCTCCTAGATGGTATGACTAAAGTAAACCAGGCATGGTATACCAAAGATGATCAAGTTTCCCCACTATCTTTCTGATTAACGCAAGAACAGATCGAAAAAGAAAGGGAAAAGGACGAAAACATCAAGAAGATGTTATCTCAAAATGGAAATCCTACAAGAACATATGAAAGGGACACGTGGAGTATTTCGAGTTGAGGAGGGTTCTTCTTCCGGTTACTCAAAAACCGAGGGAGAATCAAGGTTGGAACTCCAGAAGATACGAGGAGGATTTCCACCCATGCTATCAACCGCGGGGCGGGAATCAAGGTTGGAACTATTATAGGGGTGAAGAACCAAGGAGATATTGGCAAGATTGAGCTGAGCAGGATGATCAGGGTGATCAGGAGGAGGACCATACTCACTTGAGTGAAAGCCCAAAATCTAAAAGGAGTGCAAGTAGTCCTCGGGTAAATGATTTGTTATTGCGCATACTCGATAAAGTTGAGGGATCTGATGATTTGCTAAAAGGAATGAAAGATGACTTTTCATCATTAAACAGTAAAGTAAATTCTCATGTTGATGTCATCAAAATGCTGGAAGGTAAATTAAGTCTATTATCAGCTCAATTAACATCCAAAACACCAATGGACTATATTGAAAGAGATCTGGTTGTAGTTACCCGTAGCGGTAAGGTGGCAATAGGGGAAATTATGGAAGATGAGGATCCTCAAAAACATGAAGAGAGCCAAGGTGTGGAGGAACAACATTTCCCTATTCGACAAAACCTTACTAAAGAACCACAGGAGGAAACAGAGCAACAAGTTCAAGTTCCAAAAGTTATGCATCCTTTACTCAAGATACCTCCACCATTTCCCCAACGTTTGAAAAAGAAGAATGAAGATGAGAAGTTCAAAAAAAAAATTCAGTATTCAAGAGCTTATCAATTAACCTTCCTCTGGTAGAAGCATTGTTGGAAATGCCGGAATACGCCAAATTCATGAAAGAATTGGTTACAAAGAAAAGGAGCTTAGACTATGAAACGATTGAGGTGCCCCATAGTTGCAGTGCAATTATGACAAATGATTCATTCACTAAGAGAGAAGATCCTGGGGCATTCACAATGCCGTGCACAATTGGCATGTTCCAATTCGCTAAAGCCTTGTGCGATTTAGGAGCAAGCATCAACTTGATGCCCTATGCAATATACAAGCAACTTGGTTTGGGTGAACCAAAGGCAACCACAATAAGACTCCCTATGGCTGATTGATCAATCAAGCACCCAGTGGGGATACTCTATGACATATTGGTAAAAGTGGATCGATTCATCTTTCCGGATGATTTTGTTATTCTAGACTGTGAGTTCGATGCTGAAATCCCCATTATTTTGGGAAGGCCATTCTTAGCCACCTGGAGAGAATTGGTGTATGTCGAAAGTAGGAAACTGAAATTCCGTGTGAATGATGATGATGTGACCTTCAATATCTGTAAATCCATGAAACAACCAAGTAATATCCATGTAGTGTCCATTGAGGATGTTATAGACGAGGCAGTGGAAAGTGTTAGCCATTTAATGCGCAAGAATGAACCCTTTGAATCTGTACTTGCCAATTATGATGAATCCGAAGTTCAGGGTTACAAGGATGTGGTAGCTGCTTTATCAGGGTTAAGAGCATATTCAAGGAATCCAATCAAATTCGATATCGACCTAAAAAATAGAGAAAGTCCTCCTGCAAAGCCATCAACAGAAGAACCACCGAATTTGGAGTTAAAATCCCTACCCTCTCATCTTAAATATGCATTCTTAGGAGCCAATGATACTTTACCGGTAATTATCGTCACCGATCTGCTTGAAAGGCAGGTGAAATTGCTCATTGAAGTACTGCAGAAGCATATAAAAGCTATTAGATAGACAATAGCCGCTATAGTAGGAATTCCTCATGGTATCTGTACTCACAAGATTCGGCTCGACAATGAATGTAAACCTAGTGTGGAACATCAACGGAGATTGAACCCTCCAATGAAAGAGGTGGTGAAAAAGGAGATCATCAAGTGGCTAGATGCGGGAGTGATCTACCCTATTGCAGATAGTAAGTGGGTAACTCCGGTGCAATATGTACCGAAAAAGGGAGGTATAACCATAGTCCCAAATACAAAAGGAGAATTTGTGTCGACAAGACCAGTTACTAGGTGGAGAGTATGCATGCACTACCGAAAGCTTAACTCATGGACTGAGAAAGACCATTTTCCAATGCCTTTTATGGATTAGATGCTTGACCGGTTATCAGAAAGAAGGTGGTATTGTTTTTTGGATGGGTATTCTGGTTACAATTAAATCTCTATTGCGCCGGAAGATCAAGAGAAAACAACTTTTACTTGCCCTTATGGAACATTTGCATTCAAAAGGATGTCATTAGGGATATGTAATGCCCGAGCAACATTTCAGTATTGCATGCTGTCTATTTTGCAGATATGTTCGAAGACTCTATGGAGGTGTTCATGGACGACTTTTCAGTCGTAAGGGATACGTTCGAAGAATGCTTGACTCACTTAGGGTAGGTACTCCAAAGATGCGTGGAAATGAATCTGGTTCTGAATTGGGAGAAATGTCACTTTATGGTGAAAGAAGGTATTGTTCTTGGGCACAAGGTGTCACAAAAGAAGCTGGAAGTTGACAAGGAAAAAATTGAGGTCATTGAGAAATTACCCCCGCCGATTTCAGTAAAGGGTGTTCGCAGCGTCTTGGGGCATGCAGGATTTTACAGAAGGTTCATTAAAGACTTCTCAAAGATTGCACTCCCATTATGCAAACTCTTAGAGAAGGAAGTGAAATTCCACTTTAATGATGCTTGTGTTGCTGCATTTCAGTATTTGAAAGAGAAACTAATATCCACCCCGATTATTATCAGCCCTAATTGGTCCGAATCTTTTGAGTTAATGTGTGATGCTAGCGGTATGACACTGGGGGTTATGTTGGGACAAAAGTGCAACAAATTGTTTCACCCAATCTACTACGCAAGCAAGACTCTAAATAGTGCCCAACAAAATTATACGGTCACCAAACAAGAGTTTCTTTTAGTAGTCTATGCATTTGAACAGTTCAGGGCATACTTGCTAGGCACCAAAGTAATCGTACACACTGATCATGTTGCACTCCGTTACTTGATGGCAAATAAAGATGCAAAACCACGATTGATTAGGTGGGTACTACTATTACAAGAATTTGATTTCAAGGTAAAAGATCGAAAATGATACGAAAATCAAGTGGCTGATCATTTATCAAGGTTGGAAGCCAGGGGGAATGTTGAGCATGAGGATGACATAGACGATTCTTTCCCCGATGAACGGGTGTTTGCAATATCCCTCAAACATACTCCATGGTATGCAGATTTTGCAAATTACATTGTGTGTGGGTTGATGCCAGATGAGTTGACATTTTACTAACAGAAAAGATTCATGTTCGATGTTAAAAAGTACTTTTGGGACGAACCATACTTGTTTCGAGAGTGTGCTAACCATGTCATCAGAAGGTGTGTTCCAGAAGAAGAAGCGGTAGAAATTCTCCATGCTTGCCATACATCTCCAGTGGGAGGTCACCATGGTGGTATTCGCACCGCCGCTAAAGTTCTCCAGAGTGGATACTACTAGCCTTCACTCTACAAGGATGCCCATGAGTTTGCAAAGAAATGCTCTAAATGTCAGAAACAAGGCGGAATGTCTAGAAGACACGAATTACCTCTCACTTCTATTTTAGAGGTCGAGCTATTCGATATATGGGGGATCGATTTGATGGGCCCATTTGGGAGCTCGTTTGGAAATAAATATATCTTAGTGGCTGTAGATTATGTTTCCAAATGGGTGGAAGCCATCACACTTCCAAACAACGAAGGAAAAAAATGTTGTCCAATTTCTGAAACGCTACATCTTCGCAAGATTTGGCACTCCGAGAGCAATCATTAGCGAAGGGGGATCCCACTTTTGCAATAAGTGGTTCTCAATGGCACTGAGTAAATATGGGGTGAAACACAAAGTGGCAACCCCATATCATCCCCAAACTAGTGGCTAAGTCGAAGTGTCAAATCAGGAAATCAAAAGCATATTGGGAAAGACAGTAAATGTCAATAGAACTGACTGGTCTAGGAAATTCGATAATACACTATGGGCATATCGGACTGCTTACAAAACACCTATCGGGATGTCTCCATATCAATTGGTTTATGGTAAGGCTTGTCATTTGCTCGTCGAGTTAGAACACAAAGCATTGTGGGCATTAAAATATTTTAATTTGGACTGGTCAAAAACTTCAAGGGAGAGAGTAGAGCAGCTGAACGAACTGGATGAATTTAGACTCAGATCATATGAAAGTTCAGCCATCTATAAAGAGAAGATGAAGAAATGGCATGATGCTCAGATATTCGCAACTTAGACTCTTCCCTGGAAAGCTCAAATCCAAATGGTCTGGACCGTTTAGAGTAACGCGAAACGGTCAACGTCTGAAGTTGTAAATGGGGGATTGTCAAGAGATTTCATTGGTTAAAGTGGTATATTTGGAAGACGCCTGAAGGCGCTGCTGCGTCGTGCTGCGACGTTAACTAAGGCGCTATTTGGGAGGCAACCCAAAATCCTTTTTGCTTTATTTTTATTATTATTAGTATTTATTTCCTAGTAATAGAATGGTATGTTGTTTGTGCAGGTGAAAGTACGCGAAGTGTTTGAAAAACTGAAAAAGTGATGACAAACAAAAGATTTTGTCGGGGAGTCGCCGAAGAGGTCGGCGAATCTGACCTTATCCGCCGTTTGACTCAAGACATCGTCAACACTGAAGTCTGTAAAACTCGGTGAGATTTGAAGATTATTTGCGAATCGCCGACCATTTCGGCGATCACGATAAAAATTGCCGCTTGGACCTTCACAATGACTGAAGATTATGTAAAACTCGGCGAGTCGAGTGCTCACTCAGAGAATTGCCAAGAGGTTCGGCGATCAGAACTAATGTCGCCGAATGGGCGAAAAACTGGACAGTCTTTGCTAGCCAAAGGTTTAAAAGTTTCAACTTCATTCACTTTCCCTCATTTTTTTTATCTGCCCGAAATCATACCTACACTCTATTTTTAATATCCCTACTCTTTTAGAGTATTTCAGTTAATCGATATGTACGCGGAATAGGATTACATTGCTTCCTAGCATTTCAATAACCATCTGAGCAGCGCAAAAGCCTCACTTTGATTGCCTACACTGTGATATCTTATTCTCCAAGCATCGAGTGGAGTTAATGTGCGAGGGGTACATACCTTTGGAGCAGCTTATGATTTTGATGAGATGATTAAGGCTAACCTCGTTGCAGCAGCTGAAGCAGAGAACCAAAGTCAGGAGGGGGACACACCGGGCACTGATGCCCAGACACATGGAGCGATGGCTTAGTCAGGATCCCCTCCTTACCTCCCTCTCTATCTTCCTTAAATTATCATGTTGGATATCTTGTCATGTGCATCTGAGGACAAATACTTTTTATTTGTGGTGGGGTGAGGCCCACTTTTTGTGTGCTATTTGTGACTCGTGTTTTTGCTTATGCATTTGGGGCTTTGAGCTATTATCGTGTTAAATACTGATTTTCTGTGAATGTTTGAGCTTGAGGCTCCGCTTATTTTTAATTACAAAATGATTTTGACCCTTTCAAAAAAAATTGAATTTTTTGCACATTTCTGCCACCTCTCATGTGTTGAATGTGGCTGTTCTTTTGTAAAAAATTGAGTCTCAATTTCGATCAATACCGATGACTTAAATAGTACTTACAATCGAACGAACATGAATGTACGACTACGATGAGGCCAAATGAAGTTGCATAGACAAATATGTAAAACTCTTTGCATCTCGTTGTGATTAGCCATTTATCAAATTGATTCTCTTGTCATGACCGTCGCATACTAGCGAAAGTGTGTGATCTTGTTTGACTCAAGTGTCGATGCCTTGTGTGATGAGCTTACTTTGAACCTTGCATGAATAAACCTAGAATTTGCCCTGTTAGTCTGATTGATTTAGTAAGGTGTGCTCTTGAAATGATCTGAGACAACTTTTGAAGAGTGTGAGCCAAATTTGACATATACCTCTTTTGTGGCCTACCCGTGAGCGTGTGAAACTCT